CTAAAACGTGGAGAAGTGGCAATGAACAGTAAAGGCAGAGGTCCACCCTCCAGAGCTTGTAGCATAACAGGAAAGAGGACATTAAGCAAGAACTACACTGGCCTGTTACTGTACTTTCTCCCCAGAGCTGGCTTCTGGAGGACTGTATTCCTTTCGGGTCTTTTGGACCTGGTATGACCTTGTGTTCACAGCAGTTATTCAATAAGTACCATCAGAACAATTAATAACGGAAAACGAATGATGAAAATGTTGGATTGCTTTTTGTCCTCCTTGCCTTTCTAGTTTTTTAGAGGTATCAGGATAGAAAGGACAAAAACTCTGAAATATCATAAGACCTGGGTTCAAGTCCTGACTTTTCCTGTTATTAGCTGGCTACCCGTGTGCCTCCTTGACTAAGTGCTGACAATAGTACCTCTTCCAAAGAATTATCATGAGAATGAGATGAGTCAATTTATGTTAATGTATTACAGGATGAAACACAACGTAAATCCATAAATGTTAGTTTTATTCCTATAGATCATTTAACCTGAATTAAAGGCCAATGAAGCTGTTTTCCAAAAATCCAACTTGTGTTCATTTGAGACAATGAATGCAGAAGAGAAGAGTGAAATTTTAGGTTTGGAAGGAGTCTTAGCCTAGTTCCTCTATTTTCTTGGTGAGAAAATTGAAGCCCAGAGAACTCAGGTGACTTCCCTTAGATCACATAGAGATTTTATTAGTAGGGGTGAAAACAAAGCCTGGGTTCCCTGAATGCAGCATTCAGTGCTAAAACCCCACCACTAACCTCTCACTCTCAGAGGAGGGAGTGCCTTTGTGTTACAGTTCACCTGAGGGCCCTGTCCAGGACGAATAAGGATTTCTGTGAAGTCAATTGGGGAGAGTCCCAGGCCCTTTTACAGCTTCTTGAGATCTACACAGGGTTGGGGACTGCTCACCTTGTCACCTTCCATTGCAAGCCAGACCAGGATTATTGAATGACTTCCAGATGAGGTGGGGGTTGGCTATCACTGGGAGAAGAAGCAGGACAGGCTTCTCTCTCCTCCTTTACAGAGCCAGATCCTGGTGGGACACAGAGGGAATGAGTGGGCACCTGGGGAGATGACAAGGGACAGGCCTGGACTAAGAATAAGTCATTTACCACCACTCAAGCTTCTCAAAACTCCTCAGAATATGGAGTTGGGCCTTCAGAGCCACAACTTCTCTTAGAATTAGTAACACTAAGGACAATATTGCTAGGTGCCAGGCACAGTTAAGGGCTGTCCGTATATCTTTGCCTGAGTACTTGCACCTGCATTTGAGAGGCAGGCTAGTTAAGGGAGTGGTTTCTGGTTAAACTTTCTGGGTTCAAATCTAGTCCTCTCACTTACATTCTGGGTAACTTTGAGCAAACTGTTCATACTTCTTTGCGTTTCAGTTTCCTTAGCTGTAAGAGGGGATACTGGTCATGCTTACCTCACAACTTATTCTAAAGACTAAGGAGTTAGTACCTTTCAAGCCTTATAACAGCACTGAGCACACAGCAAGCTCTGTGCCTATAGATCATTATATTCTTATTGTCACCATAGGGGTCTTCTCTTCTTTATCTTTTCTAAAGCTCCCTCCATCACTACCATTTTACTATCTTCAAAGCACTTATCTCGAATCTTCCTCTCCTTCTTCTTTTTTTCTAGTTTGTTTGCTTGCAATTTCATGCAAGTTCCACAGGAGCTGGGTCTGTGCTGAGGACATAACAATGGCCGGCATGTATTTCTTGATTGAGTTGAATTATTTCACTAGATTTCCCAAACCTTATGAAGCAGATACTGATGATAGCCGCATTTTGTGGAGGAAAACACTGAGGCCCCACAAACTTCCTTTGTTTGCTCAAGGTCACCTAGCTTGGATTCAAACCAAATTTGACTCAAGAGCCCTCACTCTTAAGTGCTAGCTGGATTGGTTCTTCTGACTCAAAAGGTCTTAGCAAGAACGTAGGCAGAATACCACGCCTTGTCAACCTTCTCAAGGGGCAGAAGTCAGGACTGGAAAGGTGGGAAAGAAGCAATGATTGAGCCTTCGTTTCTTACCTACAGCTCCAGCCCCTCTGTACTCATCTACTCCCTTCTCACCTGACCCCAAAGCCTAGCCATCCTCATGTTCTCCATCCCCAAGGCCCATTACCCACCTATCCTACCTATTTCTTTTCCATCTCTCTTTCAGGCTCATCCTCATCCCTGTCCCCTGAGGCAGGGCTTGGGTTGGTCTTTGTCCCAGGGCCTAAGACCAACATCTGTAACCCAGAGTAGAGAAGGCTTTCTCTCTTTTGGACTGTTTGTTTAAACACTTCCATGAATTGCTTCTGAGTCATCCTCCCCCAGTCCCCTTTCTCTGGGAAATGTTTATAGCCTCCCTTGTTTTCATATTTTCCAGAGTTAACATTTTCACCCCCTTGCAGCTGATGACTTCATTTTTTCAAGCGAAGTGTGCATCGCCTGCTGGCTGCCTGATCCTGCCTTTTGACCCACTGCTCAAGCCTCCAGGGAGGGATTAGGGTAGGGTCTTAGAAAATGGCCAAGTTGAAGATAGTTCTGGGGGTGGGGGGAGGAGGCCCAAACAATGTGTACACATGTGAGTAAATATAAAAACTATATAAAAAAAAAAGGAAGACAGTTCTATCATCACTGTGAGTCCTTGAGTTTTATCCCACTCGCTCATGACTTTCTGGAAATCCACACAGTGTTCAGCACAGCAGCCTGGTCATATGGATCCATGCCCAGGGTTGATATCTACAGGACTGAGACCAGACATGTGAATGCCACCCAAGATTACTCAAGATCACAATGACATGCACTTGGCATTGCATGGGGAAGGGCAAGAATTGGTTGGATGCATCTCTAGTGATCACAGAATCTTCAGGAGACCTTCCCTAGCATGAGGGAAGGAGAGGGCTGAGGAGAGTGTCAGCAATGATCACAGCAGCCACATTTACGCCATCCTCCAGTCTAGCAAGGACATGTGAATTAGGATGGGGCAGGTAAGTGTTTTGAGCAGATTTTAGGAAGGAATGAGAAGACACCAATGAGTCAGATTTGGGACTAAAGATTTTGGGGTTGGAGGTCAGGTTTAAGGACTGGTGTCCACTTGGTAAGGGCAGGAGGGTTAGAGGCCAGAGGCATGATGGTGTTCCTAAATTGGTGCACTCTGTGACTCAGTAATGCCACTCCTAGATATATACTAAAGAAAAATGAGTACATTGGGCTTCACCAAAAGATAGGTGTAAGAATCTTCAGAGTAGCTTTATTCACAGTCACTAAAACCCAGAAACAACCCACACATTTATCAACAGAAGAATGGATAAACAGTATACATCTCTACAATGGAATATTACTCAGCAATTAAAAGGGACAAACTACTGATAGACACAACATCATGAATGAATCACAAAGGCATTGTAGTGAGTAAAAGAGGCCAGGCCAAAAATAGTACATGCAGTATGATCTAAACTATAGTGACAGAAGTCACATTAGCAGTTGCTTCCAGGAGCTGGAGTGAGACTGACTAAAGGAAGGTATGAAGGAAGTTTCTGGGGTTATGGAAATGTTGAAATGTTTTATATCTGAACCTGGGGTAACATCTGCATGGTTACGTCAATATTTGTACACCTTGGGCTAGGCACAGTGGTTCACACCCGTAAGGTCCCATCTACTTGGGAGGCTGAGATAGGAGAATGATAGTTTAAGCCAAACCAGGCAAAAAAAAAAAAAAAAAAAAAGTGAGACCTTAGCTCAAAGAACAAGTCAGGAGTGGTTGTGCTACTCAAGAGGCAGAGGTAGGAAGAGCAAAATTTCAATATCCTATTAAAAAAAATAAGTAAAGGAAAAAAGGACTGGGGGTGTAGCTTAAGTGGTGGAGCATCTGCCTAGCAAGCACAAGGCCCTGAATTCAAACCCCAGTACTTCCAAAAAAAAAAAATTGTACACCTTACTGTATGCAAATATACCTCAATTTAAAACATTTTAAGGAAATAATTTTTTTTAAGGAAAAAGTCCAGGTAAAGAAGGAAAAGGAAGGGTCTTAATGAGAGTAGAGGTGAGATCCCAGACTGGCTTCTGTGTAATATGATCAGGTGACCTGATCTGCCTGGGACAAGAGATTTCCAGTGCTAAAAAGTGGGAGAGCCCAGGGCAAACAGGAATGGCTGGTCCCTTAACTCCATGGAACTGGGGTGCTGAGAGGATGTTCTGGAGATCTGGCAGAGAGGCTGGACTCCCTTTGTCCTAAAGACCAGTGACTGCTCCAGTGAGCTCAGAAAGGGGCCTGCCAAGGGGTCAGTGCAGAGGATACCACTGGCTGACATTAGGAGGCATCTTTGCTCCCTGGTGTCTCCTCAAGGCTCCTGAGCCTCTAGGGGCAGAAAGCCGAGGCTGAGCTGTTCCTCTTTGGAGGTGGAGGAAAAAGGCCAGAGATTAAGTTGAGGCAGTTGTGTTATGCAGACTCTCAGTTCCACGGCTTCTGAGCTGGTCTTGGAGAAGATTCTCACTCAGAGGTATCCCGATCTCCTCCCTCAAATGCCTTGGCCAAGTATATGCCAGAGTAATACACCAATTTCATAGAGGAAAACAGAAATGGGGAGCTATCAAAGTGACTGTTATACCTTTCCATCTCCATCTCCTTTCCATCTCTTTGTCACAAGCAAAAACTGTCCTTTTTTCACTTATCTAATTTGAGCTTGAGATGAGGTAGGGGATGGTCTCTATCTTTCCAAATCATGGGATCGAGGGTGCAATGAGAGAGGGGCTCTTCCAGCTCTCTGGTGGAAGAGAAATTGACAGCAACTTAGAATTCTTTTTTTTGGAGACAGGGCCCAACTGGCCTCAAATTTGCAATCCTCCTACTTTGGCCTTCCAAGTGCTGAGATTACGGGTGTGAACCTCCACGCCTAGCTGGTGGTAGTTAATTTCTGGGCAGCTTAGATCCACAAAGAATGGGCAGGACACTGGAAGCAGGAACCAGGGAGGGCAGGCTTAGAAGTTCTCATAGTGGTGCATGAAGTGGGCTCGGTCCTGCCTGTTGATGAGCTGACAGGCTTTCTCTACATTCTTGGTCATCCCTGGAGGGCCGCAGCTGAACACTCCAATCTTGCGCACCTGTCAGGTGATTGTCAAGAAAAAGAGAGGCCTGGAATCTTGGGATGCTCACTTCCCAAGAAAAGCAGATTCTCCGGTCTGGCTAGGATGACCAGAGTTCTCTCCTGGACCTTGAGGAGGAGGCTTGAGTTGTGGGAGGACATTTAAGTCCTTCTATAACACTTGATCCTATCCTAGGGCCAGGGTTGGGGTTCTCTGCCCAGGATGGAGCTGCAGGGTATTTGAGGGTCAAAATATCCTGGCAGGGCAAGACCAGAGTCCCAGGGTCTCACCTGTGGGTGGACCTCCTGCAGGGAGTTGAAGAAGAGCACGAAGGGGGGGCGGCCAAAGTGGGTGACAGAGCGCAGGCCAGTGAACAGACTCCGGTTCAGTACCTTCTGGAAGTGCCGCTCACAGATGTACTGAAGAGGGGGAGATGGAGAAAAGTCACAGCCAGGCACTACCAGGGTCAACTCCTAGTTCGTAACAGTGCCCACCTGTTCTGCCTGGCTGGCTCTGACCTACCAGCATGGTAGTCCTGAGATCAAACTTCTCAGCCAGCTGTGTGATATAGATGTGCACAGACACCAGGTTCTGGCAGTCATTCTCCTCCACCTCCCGGATGATGTCAGCCAGCCACTCGAACTGTCGCTGGGTCCTCGTCACCCAGATGAAGTAGATCTGGGGACACATGCCAGAGCTCAGGACCAGCACAGCTCAGACTCAGTACATCTCAGGTACCTTCACCTGAGAGACTGGGAGGCCCCACCAGCCCAATCCCATGCTTCCAGTGGGTGGATCCCAGCAGGGACTCTTCTGGCTATACCCCTCAAAATCTGGCATCTGGACAACTGGGTATGAATGGCCCCTGAAGACTCAGTGCCTGGGAGCCAGCAGTTTTACCTCATGCACATCTGCTGTGAGGTTAGGACACCAACAGGCTGCCTGTTCCCATTTCAAGAATGGAGGAGAGATGTTTACCTTTTTACAGACCACTTGGCTGCCCACAGTTGATTTGAAGACCAGGTCTTTGAGGATGGAGGCAAAGGGAGTGACCCCGATGCCTCCTCCCACCAGCACCGACACCTCAAATTTATGCCATTCCTGGTGACCTTCTCCAAATGGTCCATCGAGGTACAGCTGCCAAGAGAAGGGGGAGATGACACTGACCCTGCACCAAATCTAAGGCCAGAAATGCGGGCAGGGGCCAACAGAGGGAAGAGACAGAGCATCTTAGCTTCTTTTCCTCTAGGGCACCCTGCTTCTCCCAGCCTGGCCTTGGAGTGGTTGGAGCACCTAGGCAGGGGAAACAGGGACCTTTGCCAATGCCAGAGGCCCAAAAATGGGGTTCCCAGTGATGGGTACCTTTGGGAATCTAATAGAGCCTTTTCCTGTTGGAGGTGAGTAGATCTCCCTCAGGCGAGTAGTCCAGGGCCCCACAGCCCGGATGTGCAGGCTGAGAGTGTCCTCATGGGGTGCAGAGGTCAGTGTGAAGGGGTGGTACTCGTTGGTTCCCAGAGCCAGGCAGGCGATCCTCACCCACTGTCCCGACTTGTACTCAAAGTCCTGGGGCCGCTGGAACTGCAGGTGGGTCACTCCTGGGTGTCATGGGCAGGGAAGAGCATAGATCAGAAGAAGGTCTACTCCTAGTACCTGACAGCAGGCAGCTTCCTTCTGAGGACCAGGGAAATATTACACGGTTACGGTGTCTGGGCAAATGAGCTCCCAGGGCTGGGAGTGGGAGGGTCTCTTCTGTTTCCTGGCTATCACAAGGGTTTGGTTTCTCTGCTCCCCGATCCAGCCTCTCTCTTCTTCAAATAAAGGGCCCAAGCCTCATACCCATGCCCTGAATCCCAGCCTGTAGGATAGAGGGACCTAGAGCTCCTCAGGAATACTTCATTGTTTACCAAGACTCCCTGATCTGAGGATGACTTTTGTGCTGGGTCAGATCTGCCCACCCTCAAAACAATGTTTTGTTACTGAATCTTAGCTGGATACTAGACCATAGCTGAGCCTCAGGCCTGCCAATCTATATTGAAAAAGGGTATCAGCAGGTGAGTACAAAACATACTAATACCACTCAGACTTTGTTATTATGCAATCTTGATTGGAGAAAAATTAAAGTCCGGAAGATTAGACAATCCTGTGACACCTAAAATCATCTTCTGCCATCCTCCACACTGAATTGAATCCCCACTTTGGCTAACTTGGACTCAACAGTTGCCTGGCAATCAAAGCCATTTTTTTGGTGTCTGATGGGGTGGCTCCAAGTGAAGGACATATGGGTCCCTGCCCTGCACTCCCCCATACCCAGTTCACACACGAGGGGATCTTCCTCATCCTCAAGCCCCTCTCCATTACTTTCAGCCACCTCTTCCCATGGTCACTTCTCACTGTCGCCAAGAATTCTGGGAGCTAATCATTCCCCTCCCTACAGCTGCATTTCTGCCCCATGATGGTGTCAGAGGCAGTGATAGGGATAAGGAGGCCTGATGAGATTCCCCCAGGTCTGAGGAGGTGACCTCTGGTGATCCCCACCTGGGTCAGGCCAGGCCATACCTGAAGGCAGCAGCTCCGCCTTCACCACATTGATCTCTACCTTCTTCCGGCTCAGGCTCACCAGCTTGTCCACCGCATAGATAATCAGTGGGACCAGGAAGTAGATATGGAAACTGGGCAGTTGAATCAGAGCAAAGCTGCCGTGGATGATGAGCTGGAGACATGGACAGTTAGTATAGCCCAGGCCCAGCCAGGCTCCTGTTCTGCACCCTTCTTGCCTAGGCACAAGGCCTAAACTGGGTTGGCATAGGCTGGAGTCTGGGGTCTCAGATTTCAGGGACTCAGTCTGAGATCCTGGGCCTAATTCTTCCTGCTCTCTCCTTTATCCCCAGCTCCCATCCTAAGTAACATCCTCCATGTCCTGGCCTTGATCAGAGAAGTCCCTTACCAGAGCATACAGCACAACGTAGAGGTGGTGGGTCAGCCAGAAGCCCCGGAAGCTGTGGCGGCGGAAGTAATGGGAGGCAAAGACGTACATGATGGCTAGGACCAGGAGCAGCAGAACCCCTGTCATACCTTGTGGAAGGAGGACAGGGTTAGCAAGTAGTCTTGCTGGGCTGAAACTACAACAGAGCATTCCCCCATGTCACTATCCTTCCTCTCCCATCTCTTCAGGGCCCCAGAACAGCTTGCCTGGACAGGCTGGACTGGGGCTTCTCCAGCAGGCTAGATAGGGACTTGGTGGCCACTATAGACCAGTATGTTTTTAGGGAGATGGAGGCAAAGCAGAGATCCTCAGACAGAACCCTCAGATCCTACCTGGAATGGTCTCAAAGAACCACCAGTAGAACTTCTGGGGAAGCTTGGATCTGTGGAGCAAAGGCACACTGAGCCTGTGGCTGGGGCAGGAGGGGCTCCACCACAGTCACATCACAGTTTGAACAGTCTGACTCTCTTCCTATTGGCTTTGACTGTTGGGATTACTAAGCCCTCAACCAGATGGCCAAGGGATCCTTCCAAAGAACATGGCAGCCAGGATCCTACCCTTTGCACCCTCAGCAATTCTTTTCCCGTGTTCTCTGAAACTCTCTTTCTGCAATTGACTCCTGCTTTCTTGAATATTTGATCCATTATTTTTTATTGCTCTATCCCTAGACCCACAGCAACACCAGGCACACAGTATATACTCAATAAGTTGAACAACCACATGCATCTTGACATCCCTACTCTGGACAGCTAGGACATGATCCATAAATGTTCACTTAGTGGATGAATGGTAAGCTGAGATGGCAATCTGTGTGCCAGGTATATATGGAATAAGAGTCTCCAACTTCTCCTAAACACTTTCCCTGACCAATCATAACCATCTTCCTTCCTGAGGCAAGATCACTTTTCCTGCTTCCCCAAGAGGGCTAGCTTTGCATCTTTACTCAGTGAGGAGCTGAGTGTCTATGGCCATCTGTTTCTTTCTATTGTATCCTTAGACTCACACAGGAGACCCAGGAGGGCACCTTCCCCAGAACTGACCCATCATTCACAAAGACGTTGGGAAATACGCAGGCCATCAGGCTGAGGGGACTGACTGAGAAGATGTAGAAATTGACGATATGGCCAGCACTATGCAAAACTGAAAGAGAGATCATGTCAGAGATGTCAACCAGGACTGACTCCTTCTCCAGCCCCAAGTGAGAGAGAAGAGGCACAAGGAGGACAGACAGAGGTCTAAGGAGCTCTAGTCTCCTTACTACTTCCCTCATAGCTAGACCCAGGGAGCTGTAGCAAATGGAGAATTCCAGGAACCACGTACTGGCCAGGAGAACAGCCCCCATGGCGATCCAGCGATGGAAGTCCACGGCGGCATCGAAGGGAATGTAGCGGTTGAGGAAGGTCTCCCGCAGGAAGGTGATGAGGTTGCGGCACATGGTGAGCAGCATGTAGGAGAACATGAAGGAGACGCTGGCTGCTGTGCCACGTGAGAGGATGATGCCCACATAGGTGGTCTCTTCAATGTCCGTGGGTGGTGAGGCAAAGGCGTAATCTGGGGCACAGCACAAGAGGCAGGGTCCTCAGCCCAAGTCAGGATGCCTTGACAATCAAGAGGGTTCTCTACTCCTCCCTGAGGGTCAGGGCCTGCCCCCTGCCCCCTGCCCCCAGCTCAGACTCTTACAGTAGGAGCGCTCTGCAAACAGGCCCACACAGATGGCTGAGAAGATTGTGGCACACACAATGTGGCGCCGGTAATTCTCCACAAAGCGCTTGAACTGCTGTAGCTTCTGAGCCAGGAGGCCCCGCTGCATCTTCTCCTGCAGTGCCTCTGTGTAGAGCCGGGCAGGGGGCCCCGCTGCCCTGTAACAGTGGGAGGCAGAGCACTGGTGAGGAAGGGCTCTTTGACCTTTCCCTTATGCTACCCATTAAAGGGGACCTGATGACCTTGCAGGGACAGGATGGGCCACAACAGAAAAAGGAAGAAAGGCAGACTCTCACTCTCCCAACTCTTTACCTGCATTCCTACTTGCTCCGTCCATCCCCTCTTGAGTCTCCCCATGTCTTCACCTCCTCCTCACCATTTGGTCTGTCCTTTTCTCCTCCTACTCCCCACACAGGCCCACTGCCATGCCCAAGTCAGCAGGAGCCAGGAGAGACCCCCTTACTTACTACCATCATGGGGCTGCTCTGAGCCAGGGCCCCGAAGAATGGGGTGCAGAGGCTGAGAGAGGATGAAAGGTCATTTGATACTCTAGCCCCAGTGAGATCTAGGATGGTCCCTCTAAGTCAAAAAGGTATGAGCCCAGAGACCCTGAGACGTCTTTGTGCTCAGAGATCAGGGAAGCACTCACTTTTTGCCAAATCTCTTCTTTAGCCCAGGACCTCCAAGCTCTGGGGCTTTGGAGGCAGGGAGCACCAGTTCCTGGGGGCAGGAGCTGAGAAAAAGAAAAAGGATCCTGTTTACCCCTGGCTTTGGATTCAGGAGAAGAACTGCTAAGTCAAAGGTTGGGGTGGAGGCAGGGGGTAGATCATGGAGCCAGGCAGGGGGCAAGGCAGAATGAGTGACTCTCATGTGCTCATCTGTTCTGTAGGACAACTGGCATGAAGTGGCAGGGAGAGGGCCAAGTTCCTGAGAAGCATGGGGTGTGGGAGGCAGCTGAATTTGGGCCTGGAGGGACCATGCATAAGAACTACTTTCAGAGAGCAAGTATCTGACTCTGGGAGCTGATTGGTCAGCACTACTTCCTCCCTTTCTCTGCAGGGGACCTAGCCAAGGAGATCTCCCAGTGCCTTATTCCTGAATACCGGTCCTCAGGAGTCCGAGTGATGAATGAGACTCTCCAGCTGGTGTTTGGTTTAAAGATGTCTCCAACACCTGGAAAGGAGAACAAGAGGCTGGACTGGCTTCCCCACAAAGGCAGTGGGTCCTCTCCTCCCACCCCTTTGGAAAGGCAGTCAGGGCACTTGTTGGTGACTTGTCATGTCCAGATCTCTGGTTCTAGCCCTGTTCTCTTCTCTCCACATTGACCATCCAATGTACACAGGAAAGACAATCTGGCGACTTTGTGCAGTTTAGAAAAAGGAGCACCTTCTGGACAGATGCAACCCTGTTTGTCCTTTGTGCAAAGAAAATAGTGTCTCCTCCTCTGGCCACATTCACTCAAGGCCAAGGCCCAGCACTTTGAGCAGTGTGTAGACTGGATTGCAGCCTGTCCCTTAACCCCACTGAACAACTTTGTGCAGTATACAACTTGTACACCTGTGTATGATGTCCCTAAATACACATGCCTAGCTCAGTACTAGGCACTAAGAACTCAGAGAAGAGTAAGACCTGGGTCCTGTCCACAGGACCATTTCTTACAAACCTCTGCCTCCACCTTTGACACAGAGCTGCGTGAAGCGGAGCTCACTGTCATGGTCCCTCAGCATGAAGTGGAAGTCCTCCCATGTCAGCTCCTCTTTGTCCTGGAAGCCTGACTCCCGGAACATGGACTCCACCACCTCGGTCAGCTGGGCCTTGGACAGGCAGTTGTTGGAGATCTCGATGAAGGACCTGGGGGAGGACCAGACACAGAGCAGCCTTCACCCAGCGAGGTCAGGCTTGGGCAGATATAGGGTGGGGCAGGCTCCAGATTACCTAATGGCACCCAGGAGGTGCTCATCCAGCCTGCAGTTGACATTAAGCTGGGTGGGGTAGGGCCACAGGCTCAAAAGACAGAACAGAATTGAAAGTGACCTTGACCAGTTAGAGAAAGCAGCCCTTAAATTAATGTGTGTGTGGTGGGGTCATCTAAACTAAGGATGAACATCCACTTAGTGCAGGGATGTGTCCAGGATGTGCAGGGTCCTCTCTTGTGATTCACTCTCTACCTACTTTTTTCTGTCAAAGATTCCCACACCACCCCTGGGCTCCCATTTTCATGGACCAGTGAGGGCACCAGGCAGTGGTGGTAGGGGGCTGGGCCGAATAGATGCAATGGTGGCTGCTTCCTTGTGCCAACACCCTGGAGCACAAGGAATGTCTCCACACTCAGTCTGATAGTACCCACCATGGCAGCTGCAGTGGCAGTTCTTCTTAGGCTATGCCTTGGGACAAAACCAGACCGTACAAGTTTGCACAGTTTTAGCAGTTAATGACTTGAGCCCACATGGCATAGCAAGTACCACCATCATGTTAAAAAGCACCATCACAGAGGTAAGACCCACACTGGGTTATAGGACATAGTAGGGGAGCTCAGCCACTGGTGGTGGGGTTCCCTAAATCCCTGCCCAGGGCTAGGCGTACACTGACAAACCAGGGAGAGACTGCAGTCAGTTTTATTCTTTTAGAATCCTGTGACAAGTTGGGGTATCTGGACTATAAGAGGGATGTGGCAGGTAAAAAGAAGGCTTAAAGCAATGGAAAGGCATCAAGGGATAGAAACATTAAAAGAATCTGGGCTGCCATATTCATTTGCTTATTTATTTCACTTTGTCTTATTTGGTGAGCTATGTATCAAATGCCTGCTATTTGCCAAGGTCAATGTGGAGGAATCGATTCAAACAAGAGAGGTGCCCTGATGGTATTAGAGTGGTTGTGTTGGTGAAGTATTGTCTTCAAGAATGAGAAGTTGAGATGCTCAAAGCTCATCTTTTGCAGGATACCAAAACCAGAAATGACTTAAGAAGCAGGAGGACAGAAGGGCTGGAATACAGAGGAATTTCCCATGTTTCTCCTCCCAGCTGTCATGGTGATTAATACTACAGGAGCTACCAAGGTCATGTATTATTTCATTGTGTAAAGTGTTGAGTTAGGCATGCAGTGGGAGAATTCACAAAATTCCAAAGACATCCAAAGGGGTTATGTGAACTTTTGCTGTTGGTCACATTGGAGTTGTGTTTTTTGTTTGTTCCTTTTTTTAAGTTGTCTCCTTTTTTAAGTGCAGATATAGACTCCACTCAAGACAGGGGACTAGCCAGGTAAACATTTGAAGCTGAATGTTCTGGAAGTCTAGAATGCCATGTTCCCCTCTGAACACAGATGGCCACCTAGCTGCCTTGCCAGCCCTCCTTTGACCTAACCTGCTTTCCTGTTTAAGCCATCAGGATGTCCCAGGATTTTAAGGGCCCACCCCATACCGCATCATGGTGAAGAATTCTTCCTTGGAGAGTAAGCCATTTGCATCCAAGTCATACATGGTGAACATCAGCCGGGACTTATCCTCTGGAGAACCTGACAGAGAAAAGGGAATATAGGCCACTTTCAGTTGACAGACCCCTGGTTCCTCAGATGGCCTGCCATCCCCTGACCCCCTACCTTTCATGAAGACCACCAGGATGTCCAGGAACTCCCGGAAGGACAGGTAGCCATTGCCATCCTTGTCGGCCAGAGAGAACATGGACTCCACAAACATATCTTGGGGCTTGAGGCCCAGAGACTCAGCAAACTCGGCCCTGCTCAGCTCGCAGGTCAGGGCCTCCCGCACCATTTGGGATGAGCCTATGGGCAGGGTCCCTGCATCTGCCTGGTTGATGTCCAGCACCTGCACTTGGGTAGCCACAGAAGGAGGGGGAGAAGGAGGTGAGGCTGGGCTGGAAGCATCAATGACTGTTCCCATCTTTCCAAGGTTCAATGCAGAAATGTTGAGCCCTGCTCGTGATGCTTAGAAATCCTGACTGGGGCCTCTACTCTCAAGTGAATCTCTAACAGGCCTCCATTTCTTCCTAAACCCAAGCACCATAAAGTGGAGATGGTGCTGGCAGTGTGGTGGTGGTGGGGAGGGGGGAGACAGGAAGGGGAGAGTAAGGGTGGGGGGCAAAGTTGGGTAATGCAAAATGAAAAGGCCTATGTTGCGGACAGAAGATGTTGGTTATAGACCTGATGCACAGGCAGGAAGAGGCTGGGGGTATATACTCGTGCCAATTCCAACAGTGCTGCCCTGTTGCACATGGCTGCATGCCATGTGCAAAGAATTTAAAAGTCACATACTACTACCATTAGTTAAATGTCTGGAACGTGCCAAGTACTTGTTCTGTGTACAGAACAATGTTTTTCAACCTGGAAGCCTTGTTATATCACAGATTGTGAGATCTCACTCCCAGACTTCTTCATTCAGTCTGTCTGGGGAGGGGCATGAGAATCTGCATAGCTAATAAGTTCCCAGGTGAGGTTGATGCTCCTGGTCCAGGGGCCAGCATTTGAGAATCTGTCATGCATACTATCTCACTGGATCCTCTCAACAACACAATGGGATGGATAAAATTTTGATCACTGTTTAATAGATGAAGAAATGGCAATACAAGGCCAGATGGTGTGACTTCCCTAAGGTCATGTAGCTAGTAAGTGGCACAGCCAGGATCCAACCAGTGGTGTCTGTCTCCAGACCACAAGGTGGAAGCTTAGTTCACTCCCATGGGATCCTCTCCAGCCCCACTTGGCCCCATCCCCTGGGCTGGGCCTATCTCTAGGAGGCACAAGCCATGGCACCTGAACAAAAAGGTGTCTGAAGAAGATCTCCAGGATGCATTCCCGCTGCTGCTTGGTCACAGCCTTCCTGAAGAGCTCGCTTTCACTCATCTCAGTCACATGGAGACCTGGAGTCCAACTTATGCAGAGGTCCTGCAGTTGCTTCACAAAGGTGCCTCGCTCCTCTTCAGTGTTAAACAGCAGCACCTGGTGGGAGAAAGATTCCGCCATGCTTGGAGCTCAAACTTCTGGTTCACCCACCCCTCAGAGGATCTCAGGTTGAAGGAAGGAGAGAAAAGCTTCTCTGCCCATCCAAGCTGGGGCCAAATGAGTGGCCTAAGGCAGTCAAGATGAGTCTGGGGACCCCAAAAGGAGCCTCACTCTCCAGCATCAGCCTTCATAGGTGAGCTCTGTGGCTGAGGATAGGATGGCCTGAGAGGACTTGCTTGTGAGAGAGATGTGTGCGAGAAGCCCAGGCAGATGAGGCAGGATGAGCTGTACCAGGTCATACTCCTTGGGGATCTTGAGCAGCAGGGTACGGCGTCTGCAGTTGCTGGATAGGATGAGGCTGACCTGCTGCAGGGGCTGCAGCTGGATGGTGCGGAGCACAGTGAGATTTCTGTCCAGGACCTGCAGATACTTGTCTGGAAGCAGCTGGATAGTGATGGGATAGCTCCTTTCCTTGGGGCCTGGCCACTCCATTGCTGGGGAAAGGAAGATTGGGGCAGAGTGTTTCAGCAGAGTCTGAGCAGGCACCCTGAACTCTGGCTTTCTCCCCACTCTGTAATTTGATTCTTTCTCTCAGATCCCCAGCCCCCACTTCCTCTCTCGCTCTCAGCCTCATCTCACCTGTCACTCCATCTTTGACTGCTTCCTTCTTCATACTCTCTTTGCCTCTCTTTTGTAGCTTCTTGCGTTCTTGGTTTCGGAAATAGGCCACCACCCCAGCAACAACCAGACTCACTGAAGGAGACATAGGAGCCAATGAGGAAGACAACACCTGGCCCACAGCTTCAAGGAGGCTTTGGCTTCTGCTTCTCCCTTCCCAAGGCCCCCTGAGGTTGGCCTCAACCTATACCCAGGAGGTACTATGCCCAGGACAGTAGGTAATGAGGGACTAGACTAGTCTTTGGGGAAGAGAAGGTTAGAAGAAAAGACATAGGGAGGGGATGAAAAGCTCACCTAGTGGGAAGCAGCAAAGAGCCACGATGACAAGGCCATAACCAGCACCACTGCCCTCAAAATAGTCAGTCACAGTAAGTGGTACACAGTTGGGCAAGCCCTCAGTTGTGAGCTGCTGGGGCTGCGGGCAGGGTGCACCTGGGGGACAAGACACAGAAAACTTCAAAGTCCTCGGGTCCCACTCTCTGGGGAAGCCTCATTCTCTGTCCTGGAAAAGACCCTCCCCAGGTCCACCTCCCTGGAACTCCTAAAGTCCCATTCTATGTCCTATCTCTCAGCATTCACCCCAGATTGGCTTCAGGGTATAGGCCACATGCCAGTCCAGCCTGTATTGTGGGAACCTGCCTAATGTAAACCTCCCAGTCTAACACAGAGGCTCCTGTCTCCCTGGAGAGCTCCAAGCAATTATGCCTCACACTATCACTTGCATTCTCCCAGGCCACTCACCGTCCTGCCAGATAAAGACATTGGGCTGCAGGACACTGTGGTTCATATTAGTAACAGCTACCAGAACATCCCGCAAGGTAGTGTTTCTGATTTCTGAAATCTCCTCCTCAGAAAACAGCCTAGGTTGGGGAAAGACAGGAGTTGTTGGAGTGGGAAGAGTATATGGGCCTCCACCAGCTCCAGGCCCAAGCACCCAGATGAGAAAAGAGTCCTAGAGAGAATGGGAAGGGTATAGTAGGCTGGCTGGAATTAAGACTGGGGCTGTCTAGGGCCAGGCAGGTGGTCTGTGTCCAGGCCTAAGTGAATGCTGAGGTGGGGCCCAAACAGGTCTTACCCATTCCTGACATTCTCAAACCAGTAGCGGTCGCCATCCCGTAGCCGCACAAACTGGTTGAGAACAATGTTGCTGAACAAGGGTCCTGGGTCCCCGTGGCTCTCTAAGAGTCCACCCAGCAGTAGCTCTAGCCGGGATAGATCCTGGTCGTACAAGGCAGCTGTAGCTTGCAGCACCTGGGAAACCATGGCAGGTAACAAGTACATGTGTGTGTGGACTCACCAATAATGTCATTGGTAAAGTAGGAACACTGACAGTATCTGCCTAATGACATTCTTATGTGACTCAAATGAGTTAACATAAAGGATTTGAATGGTATTGCCATAGGAAAACTTTAACTGTCATTATTATCATTATTATTCCTGACCTGGGGGTCCACGTAGGAACTGAGGTCACTCCAGTTCTTTGGGGGCTCCAGACCCAAGGCTAGCAAGGCCTGGCTATAGCTGGGCAGCCCCATGTCTCGGCCACGTTGGATGCTACTGGCCACATAGTCTGTGCGGGAGAACTTGTCAGGGCCAGGCCAATAATCTGAGGAGGAGAGATCAGACTTCAGACTTAGTCCTCCCAACCCTGCTTTGCCCTGAGAGCTTATATCCAGCTGTCAGCTCTCTCCCCCACCCCAATTCTCAGCACTCCTCCATAGGCGACCTGGGCCAATATTGACCTTGTCTTGTGTGGGGCCAGTGTTACTGTGTGGGATCAGGAGCAATTTTTCTGGCAAAAAAATTGTTCTAAGACTCAAGATGGTTCTTGACACCAGGCAGAAACTCCCTGCCCTATGCCTCCCCAACTTCAAAATGGAGATGGGTAAAAACCTTTAGAGAACACCAAAGAGTTTGTGGTACCACCCCCACTCCTCCATACTCACAGTTCATTTAAATTAAAAACAATACTATAGGGTGCCTACTTAGCAAGTGTGAGGCCCTGAGTTCAAACCTCAGTACCACAATAAAATAAAATAAAATAAAATAAACCTACACAAAAGTAAAAAACAAATTAAGGGAAAAAAGCTCAAAATTAATTTTCTCCTAATGATTACTTGAAGTCTGTGTATGTATCTGTGTTTCTGCATCATGGGTACCCTAGGTCTACCTATTGACTCACCAGGAAGGATCCCCAGTTTTCTGGCTCTGGCCCCCACTCCTTCGAGCTCTGAACTCACCCCTTAGGTCTTCAACCACTATTCTGTCCTCTAGTTCTGAAATCTGGGAGGCCATTCCCAGCAGCAGCTGATTCACTTCCTGGGCACTCTTCAGATTGGGGTTCTGGAAGTAAACAATACACTCAAGATAGACTGTAGGGCTCCTTCCAAAAGCCCAGTCCCTCTCACCCTGGACCACTGAAGCACCTGTTGACAAAAGGCCCTCAGCCAGTCCTAGACCAACTCTTTCTTTCTTCCTCTGTCTTTTAAGAGACAAGGTCTCACTATGTTGCCCAGGCTGGCCTTGAACTCCTGGGCTCAAGCAATCCTCCTGCCTCAGTCCCTGTAAGTAGCGGGACTAAAGGCACATGCTACTGTGCCCAGCTATTACCAGACTTTCTTGAGCAATGTACCCAGATAATTTTCTCTGCCCTTCATCTCCCACCAACCTGGAGCACCAACAGTCAAGAGCAGAAATTACTGCTTTTCCAAGCATTTGTGAAGAGACTGACCTTGACCCACCACACCCTGACTCTGACCCCCAGACTGACCTCCCGGATCCAGTAGCTGTTGCACACTCTGATAGCTGGGGAGCTGCCAAAACCCTTGTTCAGGATTTTCTGGAAATGACAGCTGGAGTTTCTGAAATAGAGAATTCAGGATGTGGTAAGGGAATTCAGGGCAGAAGGTAGATGAAGTTGAGTAAGGTTAGCATCTCAGTAGAGGTTGGCCAGGATTGGGGGAGGAGGGGTGGCCTATGAGCTTCCTTGAGCATAGCAGGGATTTGGCAATGTATTTTTTTTTTTTGATGATACTGGAGTTTGATCTTAGGGCTTCATACTTGCTAGGCAGGCACTCCATCACCTAAGCCACTCTGCCAGCCCTTTTCTGTGTTGGATATTTTTGAGATAGGATTTCACAAACTATTTGAACCCTGGTCTTCCTGATCGCTGCCTCCTAAGTGACTAAGAATACAGGCGTGAGCCACCAGAGCCCAGTGACATTTTTTTTTTAAAGATATAGTTATCTCTTTGTCCACATGGGTGGGGAAAGAAGAAAGGGTGACCCAGCTGCTGAACAAATTCTACACTCAGCAACCCAAATTCTGACATTAGGAAAGCTGGGGAGACCAAATCTTCCACCCTAGGGTCCTGTTTCAGCTCCCCAAAATTCTGCTTTCCTTCTCCAGTGAAACTGTGGAGGTGTGTGAAAGGCGGTATCCCCAAGGTCATTCATTTAATGCCTCTGTCTAGTGTGGTGTGCTCATCAGACCCCAGCTCTTCCCTCACCTCATGTAGACACCAGGGGGTACCATAGTGGAGAAGAACTGTTCAGAGGCCACCACAAACTCAGGAGAGATGCTGGGGTCGGTGAAAGGGTGGTACCCTGCAGAGAAAGCAGACAATAAAGGAGATAGGCTCCTTAACCCCACACACTGGCATCACATGGGTCTACCTGTCTTCATTCCTCTATGGATCTTCAGCCATGTCCACTCAACTCCTCACTCTCACCTGCATATTTAGGGGGCGTTTTCTGTAGGAAGCTGGGCAGCCACTCATACAGAGCGATGTTCTGAGAATCAGAGAAGGGAGAGAGGACATAGGTTGAGCTGTCAGGGAGAAATTGGAGCACGCCAAGGATTAGGTGTAGAGATGAGGAGCAAGCAGTGGGCAGTCATGGTAGAGGCAACAGTGCAATCTTGCAATGGTGCAACAAATATGAGGCCTGTGCCTCCTCCCTAGGAGAAGATTCGAGGGGTGGGCATTAAGTTGCAATCACAAGCAAAATCTCCAGTGAAAACAGCGTGTTGCCTCTGGTCATTTACAGGGGCTTTTCCTAGACATTAGCTCTCTGGGGAGAGGCGTGTTCCGGGAAGGGGCGTTTCTGGGCGGGGGCTGTGGAGGATGGGGAAGCTCTGCGGGGCAGCGGGGTCTCCCGTGGACCCGACGTGGGGGGAGCCGGTGGCGGTTCGGCCCACCTGGTAGGTGGCGATGACCCTCTTGCGCGCGTGCTGGAACAGCTCCTCGTCCCCCCAGTGCGGGTGCTCCCGGGCCAGCTTCTGAGCCCACAGGTTGTGGTAGCGGAACCACAGCAGGCCCAGCGCCTGCAGGAAGGGCTCCCTGTTGCCCCTCTGGGCCCCGAAGGCTGCATGGACGTGGGGGAGCAGGGCAGGAGATGAGCCGGCGTGAAGAAGCGGAGTCCAGCCTTGTAGACCCCCCACCCCCAGCCCCTGTGCGGGCCCGGTCTCACCGTACAGCCCCTGGGTCCCGCCCTGGCCCGTGGCGGGGTCAGGCGCCGTCCACATGAGCAGGGAGGCCGGCGAGTCCCGGGGGAAGTCGGGGTCGGACCCTGACGCCAGCTGTCCTCCGGAGAAGCTGCGCAGCGCGTCGCTCCACGAGTGCGAGGAGCCATAGATGGCGCTGCCGTCCAGCCAGCCGGTCACCTGGTTGGTCTGCGAGGGCACGGGGCGGCCGAGGCCGAGCGGGGTCAGGGAGCCTCTCCGTGCCCCCCAGCTCCCAGGCCCCAGGTCCAGCCCTCCTGCCTCGCCTCACCAGGTCCCGGGGGTTGCTGGGGCTCTGTCCAGTCTCAGGGTCCCAGCGGCTTCTTTGGAAGGGCAGCACCACGTCCCCGCGCTGGTCAGGGTCAAACACGGGGTCTCCAGGAGGGATGTGGATGTTGAGGAACTCGGCGGGGCAGCCTGGTGTTTCCACACTCACCACGTCCGAGAGCACGTGGTAGCCTGGGGGATGGGGTGCAAACCGGTGGGCAAACCGTCCTGTCCCGCCCTACCATGGGCCAGAGTGGCCTTCAAGAATTCTCCAGAGCCAAAAAACAGAGCAAGCTCTGCCACCAGCTCTGTAGCTTAGTCCCAGGGAGCCTCAACTTTTTAATACGCAAAACGAAAACAGAGTATCCTCTCATCCACCTCCTAACGTTGTTGTGAGAATCAAAATGATATAATTAATGTAAGGACTCTCCCAAGTCAGTCCCTTCTCTCTGTGTGATAAAGCCATTACAATCAGGAGGAGAGCTGGCGGTGACAGACTCCGTTCCTAAGACTATATAATGCGGGCCTAGTGGCACGCCTGGGTTTTGTAAGGATAAGAGAAAGATCAGGGGAACAAGTATCCCTACAACGACACCCCAAATCCTTCCAAGATGAAGGCAGACTCGCAATGCTGCTTGGAAGGGAGTGGTCTTGCATGAGTCCCCGGGGTCCCTCTTCCTCAGTCGCTGATCGGAGCCCCTGATCAACTTAATGGTCTCCTCTTTTGCACTCACCAAAGAAGACCCCCAGCACGGTGCGGTTGCGGAGCGACGGCAGCCCGGCTCTGCCCCGAGCCGCGGCATTGCTCAGCCGGCGCGGGTTGGGCAGCAGCGGCTCCTCCAGAGCCTGATAAACGCCGTCAGCGTAATTGGCTGGTACTAGGCGCTGCAGCCGCGAACCTGAAGAAAGCGTCGGGTCGGGATCTGTAGAGCACTTTGTCCCCTAGAAGCTCCTAACCTTACCTTTAGCCTCTCTCAAACCCCCACCTTCACTGACAGGACCCCTTCTTCCCAGAGTGCGTGGCCCAGGAGTGCGTTGAGTGTAGGGCATGGGCAGCCGGACTTCGAGCTCCTTCCTCCCACACTCCACTGCTTCTCCGAGAGAAGGCTGCTGCGTCCCTGCCCTCCACCGGCCCAGGCCCCTGGACGTACCAGCAGCACCCCGCTCATGGTGCCTCAGATTGTTGAACCATCCATCATAGCGCTGCACCTCCCAGGGCAGTGAGAGTGCTTCCTGGCTACCTGTAGGCAGAGAGAGCGTCTCCAGCTGCCCTTCCCTTCCTAGCTGGCTAAGCTCACCCAAGGTGTTGTGGCCTCCCTGGGGTTCCCCTCCGGCTGACTTATGTAGAGATCAAATCCGATCTTCCAGCTTAAAGGAACCACTTGCCTGCACTTTCCACACTCCCAGGGGGATACTGGGTGACACTCTCAGCTTGGGGCACTTGATACTTACCTGCTGGAGTCAGGGGTCCAGTCAGCAGAGCTCCCAAGAGCATCAGTGCCTCAGGTCTTGCTGGCAGCATGCTGTCCCTGCAGTTTTGGGGTGGGAAGTGACATGGGAGAGACACATTCTCCTATAGTGGGCATTGGAGGAAGAGCTTTTCCAATTCTGAAGCAAAACTGTCAGAAGCATCACCCAGGACCGGCATCTGAATGCCACTCTTCCTAGGATAACTGGTAGCTCTGGAGTCAGGCTGTTCACCTCCCTCCACCAGACTGAGAACTAACCTTAACTACAGGAACCCACTCAGCACAAGTCCTTTGGGGCATGTCAAACCCCCCGCAGGACTGGCTCAGTCTTCCAGAGTTCTGGCCAAAATCCTGGAACCCCACCCCACCCCAGGTGGTAGTTCTTCCCCAGGGTGGTAGTGAAGGAAAGGGGCTAATGAACTGGGAGGAATGCCTTTGCATAAAGGGCAAGGGCTAGGAAGGTTAGGTCCCAAATTCTGGTCCAACCTCTGGTTTAGGGCTTCGGGGTCCGATTCAAAAGGAAGTCTCCTTTTCTCTTGGAATGTTTCTTTGGTTTGCTTCCTGAGGCCACTCCACTCCCCCAGCTCTGCGGATCCTCAGCCTTCCCCGCTGTACTCTCACCCTGGATCCTCCCTCTTGACCCTGTGTAGGTGTCAGTTCAGACCTGCAGCAGATGTGAATATCTGGACCAGGGGCTCGCCCTTCTGCTAAGGAGGCGGGGCTTTTATCCTTGGCGTAATGCCTTCCGCCCCTCATTTGCATAATCTCTTCCCTCTAGGACCCTGTGCCTGACTAGGACACCAATGGGGCAGGATGCCATGCTCCTATAAAATGCGTCTGGGTCCCATGCGACTTCCAAACTCAAGGTGAAACTCGCAGAGCTAGGAAAGTGTCTGGTCACGGCTCGTGAGAAATAATTCCGCTCGCTAGCTAACCCAGTGCGTTTCAGGACAGGGCCACGGGGTTCAGAACTGACCAACCTAGTCAGTCCGAACAGCCCCAGCTCGCCTTCCCGCTTGCAGTGCTCAACCCGCTTGTAACATGACTCTGTGGAACGGCGTGCTTCCTTTTTACCCCCAGCCCCGGCACGCCGCTGGCTTCAGCGTCCCGCTGCTTATAGTCATTCTGGTATTCTTGTCCGTGGCTGCCAGCTTCCTGCTCATTTTGCCCGGGATCCGTGGCCACTCGGTAAGACGGCGCTAAAAGATTTGATCAAGGGGTAGGGGTGGGGAGGATATGGGCAGAATGTCTTTTCCAGACCTGGAAAGAATCTCCAAGTCATAGGGTCAGGAGTAGCAAATTCAGAAGTCTGGTGGAGCAAGAATCTCTTCCCAAGGACAGGGAGAGCTCCTGGTCCAAGACATCCTGGAAAGGAAACCCAGTTGTAGCATAAAGTGGGCACCCAGTCCAGTAATCTAGACTTCTTGTGCTGCCAGGTTCTCCCACCTCTTCTGGATTGCAGCTTCACTCCTATTCTGTCCTCTGGGTGATGACCTTCTGGCCAAGAGGACAGACTCCAGCAGCTCAGACTATTGTGACTCTCTTTTGTGTTGGGCTGCAGTGTATGTGCATGGGTGCCCCATTCTAAAGACTCAGGGATTCCAGGCAGGATTTGAAGTTGTAGCAGACTGAGGGGCATTTCCATAAACTCCTCCCCCAGAATCTAGGTTGTGTGTTTTTCAAATATGAGAGGACCCTCATTCTTTCTGCATTGATCTTTGTTGGTTTCCTAGGCAACTGGCCCAACTAAGAATATCTAAATTTCCATCTCCTCTAATTGTCCACTTTACCATGCAGCCTCCCTCTTATGGGAGAGGTGACCCTTGCCTGCTTAGTACTTCTGGGCTCACTGAGCCTCATCTAAGCAGTGACTGGGCTAGGAGATGGGGTGGAGACCAGGCGCCAGACACTTGGGGGTGTAAAAGTGGCTGGAAAGTGCCAGGCAGGGTGGACCTGGAAATGGAACTGGGGAAGTGGAAGCACAAGACCAGAAAACAGAAATGTTAGTGGCCCAGAGAGACTTTCAGGAAAAGCATACCTGTCAGCAGTCTCAAAAGGCCAGGAATGTCACCAAGGCTGAAATGGAGAGGGGTAATGGGAGGCCTTGGGGACTGGTTGGGCAGTACCCAGGTCTGACTTGAGTGTCTGTTCTGCAGCGCTGGTTCTGGTTGGTGAGAGTTCTTCTCAGTCTATTCATAGGTGCAGAAATTGTGGGTGAGTGTGTGGTACAGCCCCTGGGGAGTGGAACTGGGGGTAACAAAGGAGGTGGGCACCTCTTTCTTGTGCCCAGTGTTTAGTCTGATTTTTGAGACAGTGTCTCACTATATAGCCCAGGCTGTCCTTGAACTCCCTATCTTCCTGCCTCTGCCTCCAGAGTGCTGGGATTGCAGGCATATACCACCATGCCCACTCTTCTAGTGCCTACTCTTCTTCGCTTATCATGCAATTACATTGGGCTTCTAGACCCCCATCTTCTCAGTGTCCCACTCCCATCACCATTTTCCTGGTTCCATCTTCCCAAACCTCATCCCTACTGTGTGTGCATCTTCCCACAGCTGTGCACTTCAGTGGAGAGTGGTTCGTGGGTAGCGTGTGGACCAACACATCCTACAAAGCCTTCAGTGTGGAGCGAGTTCAAGCCCACGTCGGTCTGCACGTTGGGCTGGTGGGCATTAACATTACACTCAAAGGTGAGAAGTCAAGGGCAAAGTGAACCCCTGGGGCTGAGAGATTCTCAGTGTGCCTGGCGGGGGTGGCCAGAAGATCCCTCCGGCTCAAAACAAAACAAAACAAAACAAAAAAAGTTTGGTCTTCTTGGTTTTGCGGTTTCTGCAACCGCCACCAAACCCAGGCCCAACCCCGCCCCCGTCTTTCCTTCCCTGTCTGAATCTGTTTGGACTGGCCTTGCTCAGTCCCATGACCCCGCCCTCCGGGTCCCTGGCCTTGCACAGTCCATGACCCCGCCGCTCCCTTCAGGAACCCCAGTTCAGCAGCTGAACGAGACGATTGACTACAATGAGCAGTTCACCTGGCGTCTGGATGAGGATTACAAAAAGGAGTACGTGGATGCGCTGGAGAAGGGGCTGCCCGATCCAGTGCTATACCTGGCGGAGAAGTTCACACCGGACAGTCCTTGCGGGCTGTACTACAAGTACCACCTGGCGGGACACTACGCGGCCGCCACGCTGTGGTGAGCGCTGGAGCGAAGGCGGGGTGTGGGGTGTGGGGTGGGGTGAGATGCGTGGGAACCAGAGGTTGGAGGCCTCCGAAGTGCGCTGCAGCTGCACTTAGGCGCGCTAGGCTTTGGAATTACATCTTCCCAGGTCAGAAAGTCTCCAGGTCGGCACAGAGGGTCGAAATCTGGAGAGACTGCCATGCCCAGAGTTGGGGAGCCCACTCTCCCTCTGGGATTCCCATGCGCCTCCGCGGCCCCAGGCTGGGGCTTTCACGCGAGGATACGAGCGAGCGAGGCGCGGGAACTCTGGTGCGCTGGGAGAATCCTGCTCACTGCCGGCCGCTGGGTCCCCCGCAGGGTGGCGTTCTGCTTCTGGATCATCGCCAACGCGCTGCTCTGCATGCCCGCCCCGCTGTACGGAGGCCTGGCGCTCCTGACCACCAGCGCCTTCACGCTTTTCTCGGTCTTTGCCTTCGCCTCCATCTCCACGGTACCGCTCTGCCAGTTCCGCCTGGGCTCCGCTGCACTCACGCCTCACTACGGCGCCGCCTTTTGGGTCACACTGGCAACGGGTGAGGATCAAGGGGCTGGGGACCGGGTGCTGGGGGTGGAAACGGATTTATACCGGGTGTGCGCGTTCCAGCTTACAAAATGGGTTCCGTAAGTTGCTTTTCTCAAAGGGCAGAAGGCACTGTTACGCCCATTTTACGAATGAGAAGAGGGGGTTCCAAAGGGTTCAGGGTCTTGCTCCAGTTAGCATGAGAATCCGTGAATCATGTAATCCACAGCGGAGGTCTTTCTGCGCTCTGTGTGTGTGTGTGTTTGGGGAGGAAATTTGAGGAGTTGGCCCCACAGATGAAAAGGGGCAGGCCGATTTTTGACCCTCCTCTCCTTTCTGTCCGCCCTACGATGCAGGCATCCTGAGCCTCCTCCTCGGAGGGGCGGTGGTGATTTTCCACTATACTTGGCCCAGCGCCCTTCGCTCCTTTCTGGATCTAAACATCAAGGACTACAGTAGCGAGACAAATGGGTTCTCAACTGTCATCCTCAGCAACCCACTGCACAAGCAGTTCGGGGTCTCAGATTTAAAGATCACCACTGCCTTGTGAAGAGAACACAGCTCTGGACTCTTACCCCCACCTGGATTCTTCACAGGCCTGAAGCCAGTGCCCGCCTGGAGTCCATGGGGAGAGCTTCTTGGGGCAAGGATGGGGGTGGGGGGGTGGACACTGAGCTGTCTCGCCAAGGGAAAGGGGTGGCCTCCGACGTGCCGCTTGCACCAGGAGTGATATGTAAATAAACTTTTCTCCGTTTGTTTTTACACATCCCTCTTCTTCATTGGAGACACACAGCTTGGATGGGCTACTCTGCATTCTTTGCGGTGTTGCAAAACCGATTCTCTGGAAAAACCTGAGTAACCCAGAAAGCCTCTGCGAGAGGGCGCCCTCTAGTGAGGCCGACCGGCGCCAGCGTCTTCCTGAGCCACCCTAGCTGGGTGGTAGGTCTCAGTGACCGGCTGCCTGGTCACCCTCCTACCCGGATCCCCCCTCTGCTGGCCCAGCTGAGTGGTCTGGGAAGGAACAGGGTTTTCCAGTTCATTCACTAGCTCGTCCCACTGTCTGCTTTTGGGGTAGTGTCTAGGGCCAAGGTAAATGTCCTCAAAGCATAAAAATACAAATCCTGGGATTTTTCTTTTTTTAAAAGTCTTTGGCAAGTCCTACAATCTTACTGAGCATATTTGGAAACTGAAGCTCAACTGTGGCACAGCTGGTCGATATGAGAGGTGGGACGAGATGTTTGGTCTCTTCCTTCTGATGCAGACCAAGAGGTCACTTAAGCCAGGAAAGCCAAGGAAGAAGAAAAGGGGCCCAGAAAAAAAAAAGAAAGAAAGAAAGAAAGAAAAGAAAAGAGGGAATCACACTGTAACACCCTGCCTCCCACACATTCCTTATTGGAGTGACTTTGGGTTTCGGCTAATGACACCTTGAAGAGCCAAACATCCAGAACCATGGGTTGCTGTGCAGAAATAAAGTTCATTCCTGCTTCCTGCTTGGCTATACAGTGGCAACAGGGTTTATGGGCAAGTTCAACATCTCTTCAACACTTAAGGGCCTTTCTCTCTCTCTCTCTCTCTCTCTCTCTCTCTCTCTCTCTCTCTCTCTCTTTCTCTGTGTGTGTGTGTGTATATGTGTGTGTGTTTTAACATCTATAGGTAGAGCCTTCGTTTCCCACTCTGCCTACAGATTGGTGACGGGGATCTGATACAATTCAATCCTAGCCTCTGGGCAGTTCTGGTAGTTTTATGGGAGCTCCAATGAGGTCTGAAGCTAGAATGGAAATCCAGGTGGTTGCCAGGAAAGGGGTGTTATAGAGCACAGTCAGAATCTTTGGGGTGCTTCTCCTTACAGCACACCTCAGAGGAAGTCTCTGACAGAGGAATGTCCTGAGGCTCAGGACTCTCAGCCATGAACCGGTAGCGAGGGCTCAGGAGTTCCCCTTCTTCAGGACTCCACTTCAGCGTGAGGTCCTCTGCACTCTGGTTGAAGAAAGCCTTCAGCCTATGGGGCTGCATCCTGTGGGCCACCACCATGACCAGGCCCAGCAGCACACACAGCAGTCCTGAAGATGAGGGCGACAAGTGTCTTGGTAACACCTTCCCAAGGACATCTTCTAGAAGCATCAGAACAACTTTGAAGGAGGCCTAGGTCCCTGCTTCAGGGCAACTGGGGCTCAAAGAGGTGACTAGCATAGCATTATATGACTGGAGTTGGGGAAATGGGGGCTCTGAAAATCAGGAGAGGAGGCATGGAAGGACATGAAAGTAGACAGTGGGATAGGAGAATGAAACTGTAGGACAGGACAATTTAGGGCTGTGTGAGGCAGGGACACATGAGGGTTTTAGGAATGGGTCATTGAGAAGGGTTGGGGGAAATGGGTGGGGACATGGAGCTGGAAGATTTGGGAAGGAGCTAGGTAAAGAAAGAGGGGATGAGGGACATTACAGAGACAGAAGATGTAGGGGAGCATGCACATATGAGGAAGGAGAGGAAGTGGCACTGGGGAGAGAAAACTGGGAGATGAAGGATATAAGAGGGAGGGGGCTTTAGAGAGAGCAAAGGCATCTTGGCTCCTAGAGGCAGACCCTCAACCCTACCAACATCACAATTCCTGGCCCTCTCTTTCTGGCCCGGAGCCCTCCAGTAGCTCTCTTTCGGGTTAGGTCTTACCTGTGGTTAATGTGATCCAGAAGGCAGGGCCATGGTGAGTACGCAGCACAGCAGTGCCCAGGCGCAGGGGACAGTGTGCGCTGAATGATGTGGCCATGGAGAAGAAGAGCAGTGCCAACAACTGGAAGATGCCAGCAGCCAGCAGCATGTGACCACCGTAGATCAGCACAGGCATGGACAGCATCACATTGGCCAGCAGCCAGCAGAGGAATGCCACCCTGGAGACAGGATCCAGTGAGGATGGGCCCTGGTACCTATTCCTGCTGGGCAAGGCTAGAGTGACCTAGGTGGAGGTCCGGGGATCCAAAGATGCCCCAAATATGGGAAGGATTGATTCCTGCTCATAGGCTTCCCAACCAAGTACCATGGTGACTGATGCTACCCCTGCCACTCAGAATACCCACAGGAGTGGGGGATAGATGGTAGAAACCCTGGTCCTGACTCTAAGCTGGTCAGAAACATCTCACTCCCCTTCCCATGCTCACCACAGCATTGCTGAGGAATAGTGTCCTGCCAGGCGGTACTGGTTGTATAGACCACATGGGCTTCGAGGGGTGAACTTCTCTGCCAGGTAGAGCACGGGGTCTGGAAGCCCTTTCTCCAGAGCTTTTGTATACTCCTCAGCATAGTTCCCACCCAAGTGCCAGGTGAACTCTTCGTTGTAATTGATGGTCTCATTCAGTTGGTGCACTGGGATTCCTGGGGAACAAGGCAGCCATGCTCAGCCTAGATCCCAGAGCTGGAATTAAGCATTCACCCTGGTAGAGGCTCTCTCACACTGGGCAGAAGGCTAAGATCTGATCCCAGTTGAGAGAAGACCATCACCCCCAACACCCACACATTCTCCTAGCCCCAGTGCTACAGTTCTTTGGACCATACCAAAATAGATGCCACATACATAGAGCAGAGCCTTCTCTCCCCCCACCCCCTGACACACACAGCCCTCTCTCACCTGTGAGTGTGATGTTGACTCCTCCAAGCCCGACCTGCAGCCCCACGTTGGCACTGATCCGCTCAGAACTGAAGGCTTTGTATGATGTGTTGGTGCTGACCTGACCCACAGACCACTCAGAACTGAAATTCACAGCTGGGGTGGGGAGTTGGATATTTGGGAACTCAGGGAGGTCTGGGCTTTACTAGGTTAGCAGAGCTTCAAGAACTCCATGTCTTTATTGGTCATAATTGTTTACCCATAAACTAGCCAAGGGTCTGGCTCACAGTAAGTCAGGCAACCATTGTTGTGGGATGAATAAATGGGTCAGAATCCAAAGTTTCCCTAGCCCACACTCTGCTTATGCCTCCCCTGCACCCCACTTAAGGACAGTCACTCAGGCAGCTGGGAGAGGAAGCATTAGCATAAATCATGATGGAAACAGCTAGCTTCACACAGACTTTTCATTTCTTCTTTTTTGCCTAATCACCAAAGTCAAGCAAGCAGCCCTCCCCAATTTTCTCCACTCCTATCCCCAGTGACCTTCTGTTTATAGTCACTATGACCTAAATAAAAATGTCAGGAAAGTTAAGGAAATGAACCCGGCAAGATTTCCTGCACCTCTCTGGGCAAGGGTAAGAGTGAAGGGATAAGGGTGAGAGAGATGTGTGGCCAGGGCCTGGAACCCATCTGAAGCATTGGCCACTGTTGGAAACAAGAGAGGTGATCACACTGTGAGGGGACTTCACGGGACAGAGGCAGTTGCCCAAGTCAGCTGTATGCTTGACACTCACCTAGGATCACAGCCCCGATGAATAAGCTGGTCACCACCCGCAGCAGCCAGAACAGCCTCTGAGTCACAGGGTGGGTGGGTTTAGTAAGATCCTCCTTCTGAGGCCACCCTTCCTCTTTCCACACTTGGGGAGGGACAGGGATTCTACAACCGAGGCCATTTTGTCCATTTAGATCAAAGTAGTTTACACATACTGTTTGATCAATGAATGGGGAACTCTCTGCTAGGGTGCTGACTACGCACTGGGGTCCCTTTCCTGAGTCTGGTGATAGACAGTCTGGATCCCTCACTGTGAGGCTGAGGTCTTTCTGGGGCTTGGGTCTCGGGGGCTGGGTTTGTTTCTTACCGTCTTGCCTCGAATGCCGGGCAGAATGATGATAAAGGTGACCAATGCAGTCAGAAAGATGGTGATGATGACAGACAAGGTGGTGTCCATTGGGAAGGTTGGCTTGGGGTCAGCATAGAAGGGAAATGTGTGTCCAAAAGCAGCCATTTTGGTAGGGGTGTGCAGGGGAGGTGGTGCTGTAACAATAGACATTTACTGAGTGCCCTCTAGTCATCAGGCATTATTCTTAGTACTAGAGATGCAGTGAAGAGTACACTAGACAGGCCACTTGTCTCTGGAGCTTACCTTTTAATGTCTTCCTACACTCCACTGCCCCTCAAACATCCATGCCCCATCTTTTGACTGTGACAGAATTAAGAACTTGGCAATCAGTCTCTGCTGCCCCATGCTTCCTTCTTAACTCCCTGGTGCCCTAAATCAGTGCCATCATTACCCTTGAGGCTTCTCTGACTATTCTAGGATTGTTTTAAGAAATATAATTCTCTTTTATTTCCCTCACGCCTGCAGCACAGCAGATAGATCACAGAACATAAAAAAAGTGATATTTACTACCAAGTGAAGCCATAAGGGTAAAAGATGGTATAAAGTACAAAAAGATTAGTTTTTTTTTCCCCCTCAGTCCCTAAAGGAGCAAAAGGCCAAAGAGCTCTGCTAAGTATGTAACCCAACTACATCATCAGATGACCGATTCCTAGACCTGGCATGGCCCGTATCAGCCTGGCCAACTTTCTTAAGCACCCTGGCTCTTGTTCTGGTGAATCCAGAACACCCAAGCTTGAGTTCACCTGAATAAGTACTGAAGGAGCACCTGCCCTCCAGTGGGCACAGTGCTGGGGCCAGGTGTCCTTCCAATGCATACCTCACCCCACTGTCCCTTCTCTTTGATTCAAATTCCCAGGCCATGTTCCAGCTTGAACACTGGTTTTGGTTTTCTCTGCCTGTCCCCTGACCTCAGAGCTTGTTTGACTCTAGTTTGTTCCTTTGTAGACAGGATATTGGGGGAATGGCCCCTGAACTTCCCACATTTACTTAGATCTCAGACAGAATTGGTTGCAAGATGCACTATTACTTCATGTACCTTCAAGAAAAAAAAAAAAGGACTGCCATTTAAACTGGGCCAGCCACTGTTGATAAGACACACCCCAATTTCAGAGATGTCAAAATGTGAAAGAAAGAGAAGCACCTTAGAAATAATGATCCAAGTTCTGCTCAGTTTGCTAAGTGTGATCTGTACTGAATTTGCTGAGGAGGACTGGAAAGAAGAGAAATGCCAATTTCTTTGGGATGGGAAAGTTGAACACTTCAGAAGAAAGCAAAAACTGAGGCTCCAAGGTTATATGACTTGTCCAAAGGACAGGATTAAAAGTTAAGGCTAGGGCCAGGCATGGTGGTTCAGGCCGGTAATTCCAGCTACTCAAGAAAGTGGTAGAGATAGGAGGCTTGTGGTTGAAGGCCAGTCTGAGCAAAAAAGTTAGCAAGACCCTCTCTCAAAAAGGGCTATAGGGGGAGTTTTTGCTCCCATTTCCTGTATTGGGGGCAGGAAATGTTCTCTCTTTTTTCCATTTCTCCCCACTTTTATCCTGTTATACTAATTTTTTTCCTGATAAACTTTACTATTTTTTTTACTACAAGAAAAGAGCTAGAGAGGCTCCATAATTTAATCTGCTCACACAGCATCTTGTTAAGCGATATGGTGAAAGAATAAGCTTTAGCATTAAACAGCTCCATAGGGTTTGAATTTTGCCTCTGCTTCTTGCAACTTACTTGACCTCTACAGAGACCTGGTTTTAGTGAAAATTGCAGATAATAATATCTCCTGCATAAGGTTAGTGTGAGGATGAAATTGATTGTGTATGTGAAGTACTAAGAAAACTACTGGGATCAGATAAGAAAACTGATGAGAAAACTTATCCCAGATAAGAAAACTACTGGGATCAGTGAAGCTACCAGGTTGGGGAGAGGGAGCTTTTCATTGCTCTGTTATCTCTTTCTCCAGTCGTTCCTGGATAGACTCCTGGGCTGGAATCAGTTCTGGGTCTAGTTGCAGTTCTTCACTAATAGAACATTGGACAGGTGAAGGTCTCCTGGTCTGTGTTTTTCCCATCAGCAGTTGAATATGATGATCACCAGGTTCCTTCTAGTTCTGCACCAAGCTTCCCCTACAATTCATCTTAGCTCCCAACATGCCACTCTACTAAGCTGGTTACCTTTTGTACTGTTTCAGAGGGGTAGCATGGTGTCAGGCAAAGAGACAGAGAGATAGCTTTAACCTTTTCTTCTAAACAGATACTGAGGTTTGAATTTAAGGTCTCGTGATTGCTAGTCAATGACTGTACCACTTGAACCATGTCCCCTGTGATTTTTTTGCTTTAGTTTTTTTTTTCCCAAATAGGATCTCATGCTTTTGCCTAGGACTGGCCTCTAACCATGATCCTGCTACCTCTGTTTTGAGTAGCTGAAATTACAGGCATTGCCACCATGCCCAGCTTTATTTTTGAAATAGGATCTTGCTAATATTTTTGCCTGGACTGGTCTTGAACCATGATTCTCCTATCTTCCTCTCTTGAGTAGCTGGAACTACAGGCATGTACCACTATGCCTAGCTCTAAAGCTTTAACTTTTAATCCTTTCTTTTGAGTAAGTCACATAATCTTGGAGTCCAGGGTTTTTTGTTGTTTTGGTTTTTTTGGTCTCAGTTTTAACATGAAGTTTTTTCTTTCTTCTTAAATGTTCAACTCTCTCATCCCAGAGGAATAGCTGTCTCTCTTCTCTCCAGTTCTTCAAATCCATTGTCCTGGGCTCTACCCCACTCCCATCTGCTTCTCCATTACTTTTGTCATCATTTATCCTCATGCCCCTTCATGCTTTCAAGCTTCTCTTTCTCTACTATCTCCTTCTCTCAAATTTCTCTCTTCTTAAGAACATAGAGAAGCCAGGTACTGGTGGCTCACACCTGTAATCCTAGCTATTCAGGAGGCAGAGATTAGGAGGATCACAGTTCAAGGCTAGCCTGGGCAAAAAGTGAGACCCTATCTCAAAAACACCCAACACACACACACACACACACACACACACACACACACACACACACACACACAACACAGAGCAAAGAAATCTCTCTTAATCTTCTGGTTCCCCTCCAGCTACTGCCCATCCTGCTCTCTCTTTTTCACAGCTGGTCTATGTTGGTTTTTTCACTACCTTGTCTCCTCAACCCATTGCAATATAACTTTTCCTATACTTGCCTTTTACATTGGGTCACTAAGTAAGAAATCCAAAGGGAAATTCTCACTTTCCATCCTTCTTGAACTTTCTGGGGGTATCGGATACTGCAGAACACACCTTCTTTCTTTAGAGTTCTACTTCTTATATCTCCTGACCCCATGTTCTTCTGGGTCTCCTACCTTTGGCCATTCCCATCTTGGCTCTTCTGTCAGTTCTTCCTCCATATTAAATGTGTATGATCCCCAGGATCCCCTCCTGACTCTTGTCTTTTAGATGATTGAAGGCTTCCTGGACATATCATCCATTCCTATGGCTAATAGTCCTCAATGAATTTGCTGGGTACCAAACTCAAAAGGACCCACTAAATCATGGGTATGTTCTCTTGAACGTTCCTTTGATGCCTCAAATTCCCCAATGGAATTCACTGTCCTTAATCTATTTTTATTCTGTTTTCTTTGTCCCTTTGGCAGTATCACCACTCATGAATCAAATAAGCCAGAACCAGAACCATCTTAACCTCCTAAATATTTCTTGAAATTATCCTAGCATTTCCTTTCCTACTGTCTCCGCCCTAATTCAGACTCATTTTCTCTTGCATGGTACCAAAATGATTTTTCTAAAAAGCAAATGTAACTATTTCACTTCTTTGTTCTGGGTACTATCTAATGTTACTGTCACAGAATAGAGTGCTTTGTGATCTGGTATCCATCCTTACCTCTCCGTCTCCATTCTACTTCTTCTTTTTTTTTGGCAGTACTTGGGTTCGAACTCAGGACCTTCCACTTGCTAGGCAGGCACTCTACCACTTGAGCCCCATCTCCAGCCTCGATCTCCCTTCTTTGTGCAGCCTAATCTATAGCCATACTGAACTACTAGCCTCTCCATGAGTTGGACATGCTCTTTCTAGCTTTCTGACTTTGTATATGCTATTTCCTGGACCTGGAATGCTCTGCTTCCTTGGCAAATGCCTTTTCACACTCCAAGTCTCAGTGTTTTACCTCTTCTGTGAAGTTTCCTCTGGTGCAATTGGGCCAATGTTAACATTCCCTACTCTCTGCATTCTAACTGCATTTTGAGCACATCTCCATGATCACAAAAATTACACTGTACTCTAATTGTCTGAACATCTGTCTTACCATTAGATGCTAATCTCCTTGCGGGCAGGGACTTAATCTTTGCATCTTTTCATCCTGCATATGTAGCATATACTAATTAAACTCTGAATCAAATCAATGAATGTGAATGATTTTTTCCCACAGGTTGGCTTTTGATTTCTTACACAAGAGGGAGCTATTTGCTGTCATTGCCCATACTGCGCTCTCACATTAAGTATCACCAAAACAAGGCAAGAAGGGCTTTAACTAACCCTCTCAATGGTTAGTGATTTAAAAAAAAAATTCTCAGAAAGGCTTTTGCAGTAGTTGAAGTCTCCAAAACCAGCAAAGGCCTAAGCATGAATGTTCATGTTTAACTGAATATAAAACATACTGGCTGAAAATGTGGAATTAAGAGTTTGTTAATGAAATTATTTTATAAAATATATGATAGTGACATTTATGTTAAAGCCAATGTGTTTTGATGTAATAATTTTTATTTATGACACCTAGTCTGAAGCCATTATATTTTTATGAAAGTTTATAAGAGGAAGGGCCATTAAAAAAGTAGAATATCTTGGTTAATAAGATATGAAGATAAAACAAAGTTGTTAATAGCAAGAACCCATGTTATATGCTGGAGTTTCAAAAACAAATATTTGCAATCTAAGAAAATAACAAATAGTGCAATACATTTTGTTTGGGATTACGTATTTAGTATTATTCCTGCATGTATTTTAATGAGAGGTTATAAAAAATTTTACAAGAATGGCTCATCTCTATTAACAGGCTTCAAAGTAACACTAACAAAAGATTTTCTGTATCTTAAGTACAGAATGACAGAAC